AGGGTTTAGGGTTTAGGGTTTAGGGTTTAGGGTTTAGGGTTTAGGGTTTAGGGTTTAGGGTTTAGGGTTTGGGGATTAGGGTTTAGGGTTTAGGGTTTAGGGATGGAAACCATATGACATTACTTGGGACTTGCCTTTTCAAGCACTGGACCCATGATGGTCGCTTGTTGGGGGGACTCTTGGGGGTTTCAGGTTTTGGGCCTTCAGGGATTCCAGGGTTCAGGGTTTGGGCTTTGCTTGCTTCAGATCCATCTGCACTAAACGCAGCTCAGCCTGAGACAGAACGGGGCATCGACAGTTTCAGCCAAGGTTGAAAGCGTAGGAAACCCTAAGGCCCCAAAGGCTAAGGGACTTTCTCGCAGGCCCCTCCCTCTTGGCTTTGCAAGGGTGAGTGGGAGCTCATAGAAGCCTGCAGCAGGGTTCGAGACTAGGCTGAAGTAGGGATCATCGTTCTAGGGCTCGTTTAGGGTTTGCTAGGGCCCATCCCATCCTTGAGTATATCTCATGGAGCCATGGTAGGCTACAGGCTTTAGTCGTAGCAAGGATCCGAATGGGAACCCCAAACAGGGAACCCCATGAATAGAGTCGGAAAATATGGGGAATACAAGGACCCTGGTAGGTATGTTTAACCCTAAACCCTAAACCCTAAACCCTAAAACCTAAACACTAAACCCTAAACCCTAAACCCGAACCCTATTATGCTCTATTCTTGGGGTTCCCTGTTTGGGCTTCCCTTTAAAGGCCGATGGCCCCAGTGGTCACCGCCGCCTTGAAAAACCCTAATTCCCAGAAACCCCGAACCCTAAGGCGCTGAAAGCACCCCCCCTGAAACCCGAAGTCCTAAACTCGAAACCCTCAACCCTACAGGGTTTATAAACCCTAGACCCTAAACCCTAAACCCTAAACGGTTGAGGGTTTTGTAGGGTTCAGGGTGTAGGGTTTTGGGTTTCGAGGGTTTTGGGTTCAAGGGTTCAAGGGTTCAGGGTTGAGGGTGTAGGATTTAGGGATTTTAGGGTTTAGGGTTCAAGGGTCAAGGCTTAGTTTGCTGTTTAGGATTTTAGGTTTAGGGTTTAAGTGGGGTAAGGGGTTTCAGGAGTTGAGGGGTTTAAGAGGTTTAGGAGGTTAGGGGGGGTAAGGGCTCGAGGGGTTAAGGCTAAGGGCATTAGGGGTTTGGGGGGTTTAGGGCTTTGGGGGTTTGGGGGGTTTAAGGGTTGGGGGGTAAGGGGTTTAGGGTTTGGGGTTCAGGGTTTAAGATTCACGAAAACGCACCTAGTCCCCTCAACCCCTGAGCCTCCAACCCCCCCAAGGGTTTAGGGTTTAGGGTTTAGGGTCTAAGGGTTGTTAGGGTTTAGCAAGAACTACAGAACAAACGCAGGTTTGGGGGGCTGTTGTGACCTGCGGTCCCTCATGGTGCTCTTGACGGCTGACTATGTGGATTACAGGGGCTACTCTCCCTAAACCCTGAACCCTAAACCCTAAACCCTAAACCCTAAACCCTAAACCCCCTGAACACTTAACACCGGTCCTGGGCCGACATGGGGGGTAGGGGTTCGGAGGGTAAGGCTCTGGATTGGCTTGGGGGTATTCAGAGGAGGCTTGTCATGGCTCGGGTGTGGTAGGAAAACCCTATTCTGGGAAATGCCCATTTTACAGCTGTTATAACACAGTTCCGACTTCACCCGAATCAGGGTATGGAAACCACGATCTGGTAATTTGCCTTTGGGGGTTTAGGTTCGAGGGTCGGCGGTTGGAGCTTAGGAATTTGCAGTTTCATTGTATATGCGAGAAATCGAAGATCTGCGCCTAAAGCCCCTAAGATGTGCCAAGTTCCCTACATTAGGATCCCCTTGTCATGAGCACATCATAATACTACGGGCTCTCTTGTCCAGGGTACCCAGAGGAAGCATTACTGAGAACAACATGGGCCATCTGCTCTCACACTACTGCTACATATGTATATGTATATATGTATATACATATTCATATACATATACATACACATATACATACACATACACGTATACGTACACGTATACATATGCATATATATATATATATATATGTGTGTGTATGTATGTCTGTATGTATACATAGGAATATGTACATAACATACAATCCGTTTAGAGCTTAGCATCTCAGCTTAAGTCCTCGGAGCCCTACAAGGCCCTGCAGCTCGGGCCCCAGCCATGCAACGCATCGGCTCCATTGGGCGGCGCTCTTTGTGCGGAACTAGTCGCGCACGACAAACCCCTTTAGGGTTTAGGGTTTAGGGTCTAGGGTTTAGGGTAACCCCAAACTTTGTACACCTTCTGGACCCGAAAGCCCCAGACCCGAGCAAGCAACCTGAACACGGGGGATAGGGCCCTAAATTGTAGATACTTATCGATACATCAGGTGGTGACGCTTCGACACTTAGGGCTCGGGCTTTTACGTTCAGGGTTGACACTTTCCCAGAAAGCCCGAGAACCCCTTAAGGACCTACACGCGTTTACCGAAACCCTGAACCGTAAACTCTATGACCCTAAACCCTATAACCCTCTTTAAGGAAGTCTGGTGGGCTCAGTAGCCAAAAGGCCTGCGGAAACGAACCAAACGCGAATTACAGGGTCTCCCCAAGCGCATGGCATGAACCTCAAAAACTGGCCTCGTTCACCTAAATCCTAAAAAAGCCTCAAGCCCCTAAAAACCTAAAACCCCAAAAACGAAATCCAAAGCCTAAACCCTATGCGTCCCCCGCGTCACCCGTCTCGCACGCCTATTTCGGAAACCCCAACGCGGGACTGAGCAACCCTAAACGCTTCTTCGTAAACCCTAAAATCCGGGATTACGCCGACATTAGAATTTTCCGGACAGGCTCTACAGGACTTCAGGATTGCAGGGTTTGTAGAATTCACGGGGTTTGTAAGGCTTGCAGGGTTTCCAAGCCTTGTAGGCTTTAGCGGATACAGGGTTTAAGTTTAGGGGTTGAAGGGTGTATAGGGTTCATACGCTTTGTTTGGTTTAGGGTTTGGGAACGTTGTTTTAATGGACAAGCGAGCTGACAAACACAAAAGGCAACCCTGACCTTAAATACTAACCGCTGGAAACTAACCCTAAACCCTAAACCCTAAACTGAAGCCTAAACCGCGGCCCATGGCACATTGATGAGAGTTTCCCAAAACTAGGTGCCCCTACTGGTGCTCCCATAAAATATCTAAGGTGTTTAGGGTTGAAGTTTCAGGGTTTAGGGTTTAGGGTTTGGGGTACACGAGGGGCCCCCTATTTGGGAAATACCCGCAAACCCCCCAAGGCCTAAGGTCCTGAAACCTAAAGCCGCGAAAACAAAACCCTATAAACTCTCTACCCTGTAGATCCTAAAAACCCCTAAGCCCTTATGAAGCCCAAAAAACACGGAAGTCCCTAAACCCTAACGCCCCCAAGCAGGCTGTAGGGTTTGAGGGTTTAAGGGTTTAAGGGGTTAAGGGTTTAAGCGTTTAAGGGTTTAAGGGTTTAATGGTTTAGGGTTTAGGGTTAACTCGGGTGCAACAAGCGGCGCGCGGGCGGCCCCATCTGTTTTGGTCGGTCGGGGGCTTGGTCAAAGATTCTAAGTCTTTGCGCAGCACACTCTTGATACCTCCAGCCGCCCATGCAAAGCAAAATGTGCGGCCCACATATCTCGGTTGCCTGAGACATGAGACATGTAGACTACGGGTTCAAGTAGAGATCTTCTCATCTAAACCCTAAACCCTAAACCCTAAACCCTAAACCCTAAACCCTAAACCCTAAACCCTAAACCCTAAACCCTGAACCCGAACACCGCCAAAACCCCAAGCCTCCCTGGTCTCACCGAAGCCTTAGGGTTCAGGGTCTAAAGGTTTAGGGTTTAAAGGTTTAGGTTTAGGGTTTAGGGTTTAGGGGTTTAGGGGTTTAGGGGTTTAGGGGTTTAGGGGTTTAGGGGTTTAGGGGTTTAGGGGTTTAGGGGTTTAGGGGTCTAGGGGTTTAGGGGTTTAGGGGTTTAGGGGTTTAGGGGTTTAGGGGTTTAGGGGTTTAGGGGTTTAGGGGTTTAGGGGTTTAGGGGTTTAGGGGTTTAGGGTTTAGGGTTTAGGGTTTAGGGTTGAACCCAAGACCCTACAACCTAAACCCTTCCGGGGCTCCGCCATCTGAAGGATTAGGGTTTGATAGTGGGGAGGGCTCCCAGGTCAGGTATCCTGTAATACGGGGTTTAGGGTTTAGGGTTTAGGGTTTAGGGTTTAGGGTTTAGGGTTTAGGGTTTAGGATCTGGGAGGCGAGAAGTCCCGCACATGCTGGCGGTACCGATGCTGCTTGGCCAATGGTAGGCGTGAAATCGTGAAACTCTGGAGCGCTGACGCGGGTTTAAGTATGGTCCGCGAGATCTTCTTCTTGCGGGGCTTGTAAGGTTCAGCACTGAACACTAAACCCGAAACACCCTAAGCTCCCTAATAAACCCCCTTAAAGCCCCTAAAGCCCCGAAAGCTCCTAAAGCCACTTAAACCCCCTAAAGCCCCCAAACCCCCACCCCCTAAAGCCCCTAAACCCCCTAAGCACCCTGAACCCTGAAGCCCCTAAATCCCAAGCCCCCAAGCCCTTTCAAATCCACTTCTTGCAACTCAGGTTGTTGCAGTTCAGGCCCTCAACTCCCGAAAGCCCGAATTAATCTCCCTAAACTCCCCAAACCCCAAACCCCCCCAAACCCCGAACTCCCCAAACCCCAAGGGGGTTAGCGTTTTAGGGTTTAGGGTTTAGGGTTTAGGGTTTAGGGCTCCTGATCTACAGGACTACAGGGCCTCAACGGCCCCGGAGTGTCCGCTGTACTCTTCGGGGCCGAGGGACCCGTAACCCTAAGCCCTAAGCCCTAAACCCTAAACCCTAAACCCTAAACCCTAAACCCTAAACCCGACACAGCTGGCTCAAACCGCTGGATTGCGCGGAAACGGGGATGATATATTTCCAACCGCCGGGTTGAGCGGAAATTGGGATTAGCACGGCAGCCCAGGGAAACGTCAGACCTCGGCTATCTGCTGCTCACATGCCGGCACTGCAGCCCTACACCACCGTAAGCCTCTAAACACTTAACCCTAAACACTAAAACCCTGAACCCCAAGCCCTAAACCCTAAACCCTAAACCCTAAACACTAAAACCCTGAACCCTAAACACCAAAACCCTGAACCCCAAGCCCTAAACCCTAAACCCCAAACTCCACACCCTAAATCCTAAGAGCGCCTGGGAGCTTCCAAGCTCAAGACTGCAGTTGGGGTTTGGGGTTTAGGGTTTAGGGTTTAGGATTTAGGGTTTAGGGATTAGGTGATTAACAATAGCAAGCCTACGAGCCCATCCTGGTAGAAGGAATGGGTTGCTTGAGGGAAGAACAAGTTGCCGGCAGCACCGCTCGGAAAGTCGCGCTGCCGAGCTTGCTAACTTTCTTGAAGCTGCGGCCCTAAACCCCAAACCCTAAACCCTAAACCCTAAACCCTAAACTCTAAACCCTAAACCCCCCTAACTAAACCCTAAACCCTGGAACCAACGCTCAGGGCGCGGCTGAGCATGGCGAGCGCTTGTGCTGGGGCCTCACGGCAGCATAGGGTTGGGGGTTGAGGGTTTAAGGGTTAAGGGTTTAGGGTTTAGGGTTTAGGGTTTAGGGTTTAGGGGTCGAAGGGGCGTAGATTTGAGGTAAGGCTCGCACCCTCGGTGTTGAAATGAGGCATGGCTGCCTGGTGTGACTCTCGTGTACTTCTGAGGGCGGAGCAACAAGCCTGATAAACTAAACCCTAAACCCTAAACCCTAAACACTAAACCCCAAACCCCAAACCCCAAACCCTAAACCCGAAACTTAAACAGCCCACACGACTGAGAGTTCACCCAAGCCAAGCCCCTGGCAGCAGGCTCCTGGCTTTCGACAGGCGCCTCATCGGGCCGTCATAAGAAGGGGAGGGTTTGGGGTTTAGGGTTTAGGGTTTAGGGTGTAGGGTTTAGGGTGTAGGGTTTAGGGTTTAGGGTTTAGGGTTTAGGGTTTAGGGTTTAGGGTTTAGGGTCTAACCCCGAAACCACGAGCGAGAGTCAGAAGTTCAGCGCCTTGATCGGGTTCAGGATCCTCAGGCCCATAGCTCCCAAAGCCTACGCTCCCTAGAACCCCAAAGGCCACCCTAAACCCTAAACCCTAAACCCTAAACCCTAACCCCAAACCCTGAACCCGAAACCCGAAACCCTAAACCCCCCCTCCCTGGCCACCCCACCCCCCGCCCCCCACCCCCACACACACGCAGACACAACCTAATCCAATCAGGTTTAGGGTTTGAGGGGTTCGGCATTAGGGCCTTTTGGGTTCAGAACAAAATAAGCCATGAAAGTAAAAGCCCTACAAAACAACTGAAAGATCACCTAAACCCTAAACCCTAACCCTAAACCCTAAACCCTACTGTAAACCCTAAACCCTAAACCCTAAACCCTAAACCCTAAACCCTAAACCCTCAACCCTCAACCCTCAACCCTCAACCCTCAACCCTCAACCCTCAACCCTCAATCCTCAACCCTCAACCCTCAACCCTCAACCCTAACCCTAAACCCTGCAAACCTAAACCCTGCAAACCCTCAAAGCTTTGCAGCGCAACTCGGCCCTGGACTCGGGCGTGGGTGCTCGCGCTCGGCCGTCGTCGCCCTCGCCACACCTGGGCGCAGTTGTCAAGCTCAGGGTTTAGGGTTTAGGGTTCAGGGTTAGGGTTAGGATTCGGGTTTAGGGGTCTAGGGCTCAGGGTTTTAGTGTTTGAGGGCTGGGGGGCTTTGGTGTTTCAGGGGTTAGGGTTTAGGGTTTTGGGAGTTTTCTGGGGGTTTCAGGGTTTTATGGGTTTAGGGTTCTGGGGCTTATGGGGCTTCAAGGCTTTAGGGTTGTTTTTTTTTTTTTTTTTTTTTGGGGGGGGGGGGGGGGGGGGGGGGGGGGGGGGACCGCAGAGTTTCTAGGTTGCCCAGCAGCCTACTAGGATGAAGTAAGGTGCCCAGTTCTGCTGATAAGGGGTTTATTACAAGGAAACCGCCCAAAAAGGGAGAGAGGGGTTGGGGCGTTTTGGGGCTGTTGGGGGTTTAAGGGCTTTAGGGCTTTCGAGGTTTTGAGCTTTAGGAAACTTTAGGGTTTAGGGGCTTGTGGTTGGGTTTGAGGGTTTGGGGTGCAGAAGGGTTTTTGGTTTGGGGTTGTTCTCCCACATGACCGCTTCTTCGGTGGGGTGTATCCTGGCTGTACGTAGCCTTCCTTTGCGGTCATATGTACAGCTTTATCACGCAACCCATGAACCTTCAGCGTGGTAACCACACGGGGGTAAACACTACACCAGCCCTAAACCCTAAACCCTAAACCCTAAACCCTTCTAAACCAGGGTGGGGAGAAGGGGGTATCAGCAGGGCTCTAGGGTTGTAAGGTTTTTGGGGCTTCTGGGGCTTTAAGGTCTTAAGGCTTTTTGAGGTACGATATTTGTGGCTTCTCAGGTTGGAGTGTTCTTTGTAGGGAATTCAGATTTGGGTAGGCGACGTCCGACATCGTCCCTCACATCAACCCCCGTCTTTCCTACTTTACTTTCGGGAGCCCTAGCCCTAAACCCTAAACCCTAAACATCCCTAAACCCTAAACCCTAAACCCTAAACCCTAAACACTAAACACTAAACCCTAAACCCTAAACCCTAAACCCTAAACCCTAAACCCTAAACCCTAAACCCTAAACCCTAACCCGAAACCGAGCCAGACCTGACCGACCCATCTCAGGTGGCGGACGGAGACGGAGACTGGCTCGCCCGCCTGAATCAGATCTGCGGTTTAGGGCCTAAGGTTCAGTGTTTTGGGGCAAGCGGAATAACCCAAAAAACCCACAAACTCTATAAACCTCAAGCTCTATAAACCTAGTAGTAGACCGTCTGAAAATGTTGCACCTCCTTTAGTGTTGCGCCCCCCGCCACCCCCCCCCCCCCCCCCCCCCCCCCCCCCGCCGGAACAGTCGAGGCTGGATTTGCTCCTGCTCCTCTTTAAACCGGCCCGGGGGTTTATATGATTAGAGGGAGGAGGTTAGATGAGTTTAAGAGGGACAGCGAGACCCGGCAATCGAATTTAAATGCGCGCCGCGCGGAATTTTCTTACGACGCCGGACGATTTGACTTTAAGCGGGACCCCCAACCAGTCAGCTTGTCCTGAATAGCCCAGCTAAAAACGACTTTATAGAGGGGCATAAACCAAATATAAACTCCCAAAACCCTATGTGACATATGTCTCTATATATATATATATCCCCCTTATATATATATATGCGTCGACCCATAAGCCCCAAACCCGGGCCCCTTGCCCTTTAGGGCCTGGGGTGGCGCTTGGCGGTCGTGAAGAAAAAGAAAAAACCCCTGAACCCTAAACCTCTCGCCCCCCCCGCCCGAATCAAGGCCCAAACAAGCCTTAGTTGAGGGCTCTGTGGGCCTTCTTCTGGGCAGTTGGGGGCGGGAGCTTTAGGATTTGTAGGGCTTATGCGTACAGCATCATCCAGCGCCGGCTCCGCAACCCTCCCCTGGAAAACCCTAGACCCCGAACCTTCAACCCTTAACCCAGAACCCTCTGCCCTGAACCCTAAGCCCGTAACTGGAATCGTCAGCGTAAGCCACAAGCCCCCGAGCCCTACAAACGATGATTCCTAAACCGCAAAATCTTTGAAGCCCCTGTGTAAATCAAAAAACCTTATGATCAGTAGCTTCGGGTTTTGGTTTAGTGTTCGACACGCAGACCCTGAAATCTGAAACCCTATACTATCCTCGTGAATCATCTTCATGAACATGGACTTTCCTTCTAAACAACACTCAGCCTGAACCCCCAACCCCAAACCCTGCACCCAAAGGCCACCAAAACCCAAACCCCGACCCCGCCCCCAGTACAAGCCTGGGAGAGGCAGTGTCAAAGCGGTCGCCCAGACGGCGCCTGCGAGGTATAACCCATCCCTTCTTTACTTTGTCTCTGTGCATGTGCGTATGTGCTTGTTGTTGTGTGTTGTTTTGCTGCTGGGGCAGGCGGGCAGGCGTGGATGGGGGGGTGGGGTGCAGTGCATTGTTTGTTCTTGGCTTGCATTTTTTGGGGAAGTTGTCTTCTTCATTTTGGTGCGGGGGGAGGATTAGAGTCGTTCTGATCTTGAGAGGGTATGGGTCACGGCCGTTGCATGTTAAGTTGTGCATACGCGGTAAGGTTGAAGTTATCAGTTGCTTGGTGTGTGTGTGTGTTGTGCCCTACACCATAAGCCCTACGGTTCTGTCTGGGGAGGGCCCCCGAAATCCTGCACACTAAATGCTCGTTCGATCTAATCTTTGCATGCCTACTGGGCCCAAAGCCGACTAAGGTTGGGGCTTTGGGCTTAAAATTTGTAAGCCTCATGACACCCCCTAAATACCAAGCCTAAACCCCAAACCCTAAACCCCAAACCCTGAACCCCAAACCAAACCCTAAACCCCAAACCCAAAGCTAAACCGCAAACCTTAAACCCCAAACCCCAAACCCTAAACGCCAAACCCTAACCCCCCCCCCCCCCCCAAAAAAAAAAAAAAAAAAAGAAAGAACCCGGAACCCCAAGCCCTGAACCCCAAACCCCCAACCCCAAACCCTAAACCCTAAACCCTAAACCCCGAACCCTAAACCCAAAACCCTACACCCCAAACCCCAAACCCTAAACCAAAACCCTAAACCCTGACACCAGCTCTTCGGAGCCGTCCCAAGCATGACGGAGCCTTTTCTCTGAAGGCTCCAGTCGAGGCTCCAGGCGATCCTCTCATGTGAGTTTAGGGTTTAGGATTTGGGGTTTGGGGTTTAGGGTTTGGGGTTCGGGGTTTAAGGCTTGCGGTTTAAGGCTTGAGGTTAGGACTTAGGATTTAGGGTTTGGGGTAGGGTTTAGGGGTTTGGGGTTTAGGGTGTTCCAAAGTGCCGCGGTCCCGACCCGCGCCAGGGAGTGGCGGCGGGTCCGGCCGCCTCGGTGCAGCGGATCCCACCCCAGCCCAAAGTACCGCCTTTTTCGGTCTACCCCCCACGGCCCCCCCCTATCAAGGGGGCTTTCACCTCGACTCGCCCCGATGGCCGAGATGGGACGTGTTGACTGCTGCTGTTGCTTGAGCCTACACATTTCTGGATCCAAACAGGGAGCGGGACAATCTGTTTCACCCATACTGTGTTAAGACCCTAAACCCTAAACCCTAAACCCTAAACCCTAAACCCTAAACCCTCAACCCTCAAGCCCATAGCTTAGCCAGGGCAAGCCCCGTGTCGGTTTGTTGCCATGTGGGTCGCAGGACTCCGGTATAACCCGGAGGAGATGTATGGAATGCCACTTGACACACCAAGTCCGGCTCCTTCCGGCAGGGGTTTAGGGTTTAGGGTTTAGGGTTTAGGGCTTAGGGTTTAGGGTTTAGGGCTTGGGGTTTAGGGGTTAAGGTTTAGGGCTTGGGGTTTAGGGATTCAGGGAGTTAGGGTTCTTGCGGAGTGAGCATCCAAAACACAACCCTATAAACAAAATGAAGCCTTCAGAGAGAGCTCTCAGTGTTGGAGGCTTGACCCAATAGGCATTAAGGATTCAGGGCCTTAGGCTGTTGGGGGTCTAAGTCCTAAGGCTAATGGACGCTCATGCTGCTGACGAGCTTCACTTTGCTGTTTTTTATGAATGGGGAGTTTCTCATCAGCTCATGGAGTACTGCACCCTAAACCCTAAACCGTAAAGATTTTGAGGCGGTGGGGGAACAGCGAAGCAGCTTCGGTTGAGTCACCGCATCGTGCTGCGCATTGAATCACACACGCTGCGATGGCGAATGACAATAGGCCCCACTGTAGCCCCAACAGCGAATGGTGGGGCCAGGAAACCCTGAGAAGGCTCCAGGGCTTAGGGTTTTGAGTTTTGAGTTCACCCCATACCCTGAAACCGAGAATCCCCGCTGGTCCTGGCCCAAGACCCTCAACCCCAAACCCCAAACCCCAAGCCCTGAACCCCCAACCCCACCAAACCCCAAAATTCTCCCTCGAACCGTAAACCTTAAACCCTCAACCCCGCTCAACCCTCAACCCTCAACCCTCAACCCTCAACCCCCAACCCTCAACCCTCAACCCTCAACCCTCAACCCTCAACCCTCAACCCTCAACCCTAAACCCAAAACCCTAAACCCTAAACCCTAAACCCTAAACCCTCTCCTCATCCCTCTGTGACCGCTTCAGTGACCGCTCCAGGGAGGAGGGGCACGTAAGCCGAGGTGGGATGCCACCTCTGGCGATGGCAGGGTTTAGGGTTTAGGGTTTAGGGTTTCGGCTTTAGGGTTCAGGGTTTAGGGTTCAGGGTTCAGGGTTTTAGGGTTTTAGGGTTTCGGGTTTTAAGGTTTAGGGTTTAAAGGTTAAGGGTTAAGGGTTTAGCGTTTAGGGTTTAGGGCTCGGGCCGCATGCACTAGACTTTCATCACGTGGCAGGGCCGGGACGTCACTTTCATCATGTGGCAAGAAGCTATGAGAACACGTCAAGAGCCCAAGACCTTGAACTGAAAACACCTAAACCTTCAGAGCCCTAAGCCTGAATGTCACTGAGGCCTTCCACTAAAAAACAAATCCCAAACTTGCTACCCTAATCAAAGCTCCTCAACACCAAACCCTCAACCCTCAACCCTCAACCCCCCGCCGCCAAACCCTACAGTAAACCCTAAACCCTAGAACCTAAACCCTAAACCCTACACCCATCTTAAACCTTAGACCTCGAACCCTCAAACCTCAACACGGAGTTGTCCACTGCCTCGCCCCTGGAAGTAGACGTGGACGTGCCAGATCTTAGGGATGGTTTAGGGTTGATGGTTGAAGGTTTAGGGTTGAGGGTGTAGGGTTTAGGGTTTAGGGGGGTTGAGGGTTTTGGGTTGAGGGTTTCGGGGTGTTGCGGTTTACGGTGTTGAGGGTTTAGGGTTCAGGGCTTAGGGTTTTGAAGGCTTTGAGGGCTTTCAGGGCTTTAAGTGCTTTTGAGGGTTTTGAGGGTTTTGAGGGTTTTGAGGGTTTTGAGGGTTTTGAGGGTTTTGAGGGTTTTGAGGGTTGAGGGATTCGGGCTCAGGGGCATTGATGGCTTGGGAATTGGGGTTTCGGGTTTGTGGTTAATGGTTAAGGGTTACGACGGTTGCGGGCCTTACAAGCTCAACCCTGCAAACCCTACAAAGTCTACCCAAACCCTAAACCCGAAACCCTGAACCCTAAACCCTGAACCCTGAACCCTGAACCCCCCAAACCCGGACGCTAAACCCGAAAAGAAGTTTCCGGACGCGTTGCCTTTGTTCTAACCAATGGACGAACGAAGGCTGGAGTTTTAAGGTTTTGGGCTTTAGGGTTTTGAGCTTTAGGGTTTTGGGCTTTAGTGTTTAGGGTTTTGAGCTTTAGGGTTTTGGGCTTTAGGGTTTAGGGTTTTGAGCTTTAGGGTTTAGCGTTTTGAGTTTTAGGGTTTTGGGCTTTAGGGTCTAGGGTTTGAGTTTTAGGGTTTGGGGCTTTAGAGTTTAGGGGTTTGAGCTTTAGGGTTTTGGGCTTTAGGGTTGAGGGTTTTGGGATTGAGGGTTTAGCGGCTTGGGGATTCGGGTGTGTGTGTGTGTGGGGAATTTACTGTTTAGCGTTCAGGGTATTTCAGCAGTCACAGCTCTCAGCGCATCCGTCTGCTGCTTTTCTGTGGAAGGATGCAGCCGCAAGGCCAAGCCGAGCTTCGTACTTCTTCGGGTTCTGGCCTTTCACAGCTCTGCTCCAGACCAGTTACGTGGGTTCTCATCAGGGTTTAGGGTTTAGGGTTTAGGGTTTAGGGTTTAGGGTTTAGGGTTTAGGGTTTAGGGTTTAGGGTTTAGGGTTTAGGGTTTAGGGTGCCTGGGAGCTTGCAGCGGCGGCCAGGGCGGAGGAGGGCGGCCTCCATCAACCCAAAAAAGCGCGAGCTGCTGCTCACGACCTGCATACGACCCAAAGGGTCCCATGTACCCCATATCGTAGATACTTGGGCCTGAAAGGGGGTGAAAGGGAGTGCCTATTTATAGTAGCTTTGGGGCCCAAGAAGGTACCCACATGGACCATACGGGTATTTCCCAAAATAAGGCTACGCTGTTTATACCCCAAACAGAATGGAATGCCCTCCAAGGGACCCCCAAGCAGGGTACCCCGATTTTCGGCCCGTTTTGGAACTTGGACCCCAAGGGCAGGATCTGTACTTCAGGCATTAGGGAGAGGCGTTAGGGACTGTAGTGTGCACCCTAAGGTACCCTAAGGTACCCTAAGGTACCCTAAGGTACCCTAAGGTACCCTAAGGTACCCTAAGGTACCCTAAGGTACCCTAAGGTACCCTAAGGTACCCTAAGGTACCCTAAGGTAAGGCTTTAGGACTTTAGGTTTTAGGGGGGGTCTGTGGGCCCGATTGGTAAGGGGGGGTCTGTGTAAACACTCAGGCTGAGGCGGTATGCCCTGTGACCAAGCCTTGCAGCAAACCGTTCATCGTATACACCCATTCCTAAACCCTAAACCCTAAACCCTAAACCCTAAACCCTAAACCCTAAACCCTAAACCCTAAACCCTAAACCCTAAACCCTATGCAGGGTTTCGGGAGTAGGGCCGAAGGCCCCAAGCCTCAAGCTCCAAACCCTGTACCTCGACTTCGGGATGTTCCAGGTTTAGGGTTTAGGGTTTGGGTTTAGGGTGTAGGCTTTGGGGTCTTGGGGTTTTATGGTTTAGGGTTTAGAGCTTCTCAAGGGATCCTGACTGCTTCCTCAAGATGAGGCCCACAAAAGGCGATTCAGAAACCTCAAACCCTAAAATGCAGGGTAGTAAGCCTTAAGCCCTACTCCCTATAGGTATCAACCTCGAGGTCCCAGGCGTTGATCGTCCGGCGCCCACGGTTGTCGTCGTAGTTCCAGGAGACGACCTCGGAGAAGCTTCTGGGATCCTAAACCCTAAACCCTCGACCCTAAACCCTAAACCCTAAATCCTAAACCCTGAACCCTAAACCCCTTTTAGGCTCCCCTCAGTACAGCACCTCCGGCGCCGGAAACCCAAACACACAACACGAGCACCCAAGGCTTAAAACCGTCAACACCCAAACCCTATATTTGGCAACCACAAGTAACCCTGCATCACCTTCACAGATTTGTTGGCCTGGGTCGGCCCAGAAAACCCGCTGAAAAATGTTAGATTCTAGATCTGATCTTCTTAAACCCTAAACCCCTAAACCCTATGTAAAAGTGGCTTAGGCAATCTGTTTGTATGTTTTTTTGTGGGGAAGGGGGCGGGGGGGGGGGGAGGTGGTGTACGGGGTCCGTGAAAGACTCCAAGCCCGGAATCCCCAGCGCTCCTAACGCACGCCAAGGGTCCGACAAGTTTGGGGGGTTTTAGGGTTTAGGGGATTTAGGGTTTAGGGCGAGGCAAACCACTAGACTCTATAAACCCTACGTGAACACGAAACGTGCGAAACTCACCCCTCCCCCCCCCTCCATAAGGCTAAAGTGGCTCTGGTTACTCTGGTTAGGGCTCTCTTTGAAGGGCTGAGTCCCTGTGCGTAGTTGAGGACCCTCAACCCTAAACCCCGATGCCCCCCCCCCCCCCCCCGCCAATCAGCCTTAAGCAAGGAAATATGGATCCCTTACCACCCCCCCTCCTCCATTCTGGTTCCCTATCAAAGTACTTTGGCACACTTGAGGGGTTTCAGCAACACCCCGAGCTTCTCTGGTAGCCCAGGTAACCGCACTATCATAAGGGCACCCTTTCGTTTTGGGGTTGGTGACTTTACAAGTGATCCCAGAACCAAGAAAAGGGTAAAGGGTATGCTAGGAGGAACTTCAGCAAAGCCATGGCCCTGGCGTGGTGAGGTTCCCGTGCATCCAACCACGCCTGTGCTCTGCGAAACGAGAGGTTGCAGGGTTCGGGGCGGCGGTTCATATATGGTGGTCTCCGAACTTAGTGGGTACCTTATGATTGGGGTCCTAATTGGGGGTTTAAATGAGGCACATTAGGCACCCCTCATTTTGTTAAAACCCCCATAGACACTACAGACCCTCAGGCCCCCACCCCCAAATCCACTAAGCTTCAACGGTGGGGTTTTTGTGGACACTTGTACGGCTGCCCAAAACAAGGCACCCTCTTTCTAAGCGGCTCGAAGTCTAAACTTCGGTGGGCGTTGAAAACCAAAACCCTGAACTAGAACCTCAAATTCGCACCCACACCCCTAAACTGTAAATGCCCTAAACTAAACCCTAAACCCTAAACCCTAAACCCTAAGCCCTAAACCCTAAACCCTAAACCCTAGGCTCTAGACCAGACATCCTAGGCCTTTTGGGTAAATACGGCGTAGGCCTTAGGGTTCATAGGGCGGAGTTTGGGCTTTCAGAGTTTTTGGGCTCCCGCGCCGGCCCACATAAAGAGAACCCGGAGACCGGGGGGTGGGGGGGGGGGGGGGGGGGGGGGGCGGACTGAACTTTAAACCCTAAACCCTAAACCCTAAACCCTAAACCCTAAACCCTAAACCCTAAACCCTAAACCCTAAACCCTAAACCCTAAACCCTAAACCCTAAACCCTAAACCCTAAACCCTAAACCCTAAACCCTAAACCCTAAACCCTAAACCCTAAACCCTAAACCTGACTGAACTTTAAACCAAGCATCAAGCATCCCTCAACCCTCACAACCTCAAATCCCGCAAATCATGTAAGCCCTCCACCCTCAAGCCCAAATCCTGTAAAACCCTCAATCCTGCAAACCCTAAAGCCCAGCAAACCCTGCAAACCCTGAAAGTTGAAAGGAACACCGGCGCGCCTCGACGTAGTTGCAGAGCTCCTGGTGACCCATCTCATGCCTCGAAAGCTCAACGCAGGGCTTCAGTTGATCGTCTCTCTCTTAGGATAGTTCTAGTTACATGGTCCGCCCTTACCAGGGGAACCCCTTATATATGTAGACCTTATAAAGCCAAGGGCCCAGACATCAGAACCCTGTCAAGAAGGCAAGGGACCATATTAAAGGGCCCATGAAACTACCCTACGAGTCTCATGTGGGAAAGACGCCTAGGTATCAGTTTCCCTCGCACTTCCGCCCCCCCAAGGGGTACCTCCAAGAAGTAAGTGCAGGTACTTAAATCCCCCAACCCCTCCAAGCCCCGAAGTCCCTAAAGCCCTAAAATCCTCCAAACCCCAAAAGCCCTGAGCCCAATCCCTGAAAGCCCCTGAAAGCCCTACACCCTCTAAACCCTAAACCCTAAACCCTAAACCCTAAACCCTAAACCCATGAAAAGTACTGGACCCCGGCCTGCACCAGATGGTCCAGTGTTCGGCTCCGGGCGGGAGCCTTTCTCCGGTGGCACAAAGGGAGCTTAGGGCGAGGGGTTTAGGGTTGAGGGTTTAGGGTTTAGGGTTGGGGGTTTAAGGTTTAGGGTTTAGGGTTTAGGGTTTAGGGTTTAGGGTTTAGGGTTTAGGGTAGGTGCAGGCCTGGAGCTAGAGGCCCATACGTTTCACGAAGAGGGCTGAACTTGGGATGGTTCCCCTTTTCCTAAAACCCTAAACCCCAAACCCCAAACCCCAAACCCTAAACCCTAAACCCTAAACCCTAAACCCTAAACCCTAAACCCTAACAGTCCTTCATAAGGATTATAGTGCCTCCTACTATAATCCCTATTAAGGACTGTTAGCATAAGGGGGAACATCGCAAGGCTGAACCCTCAAACTCGCCGTTCAGGGTTTAAGCGCGGTTTAGTGCCTGTAGTGCTTCTTGGGGTTTAGGGTTTAGGGTTTAGGGTTCAGGGTTTAGGGTTTAGGGTTTAGGGTTTAGGGTTTAGGGTTTAGGTTCTTTTTAGGGTTTCAAAGTTGTTGGACCCATAAACCTTCAACCCTAAACATACGTGAAATGGCTCTGCGAGCCCAAACATCATCTGAGAACCGCAAGGCTTCGGGGGCCTTTGGGGTTTACAGCCGTAGAAAAGGGTGCCGGTTTGGTTATAGGGTTCATAAGGGAAGCCCACCCGCTACAGAAGAGAACTAGGACCCAGTGGGGGTCCTAGTACAGGGCTAGGGCCGGGTTTAGGGCTTTCTACTTATTGCTTAAGAACCCCCCACCCAAAATAAGATATATATATATATACATATTTTTTTTCTCTCATTGATATATATATATATATATCCTTCTAAGGGCAAGAAAGGGATTTTGTTAAAGGGGCTCTGAAGCAAATAGTTGAGTTGAAGCTGACCTGGCCAGGTTTCCCAGAAGCTCAAAAATTCAAAAGAAAGCCCCTATGTGCTTCATGGGGTTCAGGGTTTACGGCTTGAGGTGGTACCTGGTGTATGAGGGACCCTAAACTCTAAACCCTAAACCCAAGCTGGTCACATGTACAGGAGAAGGGTGGCCTCTACAATGGCCGGAGCCTTTGCACATGATCTGCGGCGTAACAATGGTGAGCAAGACGAGGGCCGCAAAGGGCTTAGGGTTCAGGGGGAAAGGTTTTCGGGTTGCGGGTTTCAGTGTTTCGGGTTTGGGGTTTAGGGCGTCCCAACTAGACAAGGAGCTGGTAGGGAAAGCGGTTCCGCTCCAGAAGGACGTCGCGACTGGCGGCCAAATGATTGGCACGGTTTAGGTCTCTTGGCTTAGGGGCCTAAACCCTAAACTCTAGACCCTAAACCCGAAACCCTAAACCCTAAACCCTAAACCCTAAACCCATTAGGGTTCAGGGTATTCTTTTGGGCTCGGGGCTTTGAACTCTGTGTTTTTTTTCAGAGGTACTAATCCTAGGGCTGAAAGAACTCAAAGCCCTGAGAGCCCTAATTAAGCCCTGAGCCTTTCACCCGAAGCGCAAAACGCCCTAAACCCTAAACCTTAAACCTTAAACCCTAAACCATTAACCCAAAACCCTAAACCCTAAACCCTGAACCCTACACCCAAAACTGCCTAAACCTTATAGGCGGCTGCACCTCCAACCTCTGCCAAGCCCAAGCCCTCGACGCATTTTGATGGGGCTCAAGGGCGCGCAGCCCTAAACCCTAAACCCTAAACCCTAAACCCTAAACCCTAAACCCTAAACCCCTACACCCAAACAGCGAAACATAAGGCCTGAACACTGAACACTAGCCTCCTAGGCCCTAATCTAAGTTCTGACATGTCTGCCCACGCGTGTGTCTAGGGTTTAGGGTTTGGGGTTGAAGGGTTCGGTAAGGAGCCCATCTATTCCCTAAACCCTAAACCCTAAACCCTAAACCCTAAACCCTAAACCCTAAACCCTAAACCCTAAACCCTAAACCCTAAACCCTAAACCCTAAACCCTAAACCCTAACTAGGGTTTCTTCTAAGAGCTTCTTTTGGGAAATGTGGGTCCATCCGCCACCCCCACCCTGGGCTCTTGTGAAGCAAGCGTTCCCTGCAGTCGGCCTGCCCAGGACGTACTTGTCTACATAGTACTCCTTGGCTTACAGAAGTTCTTCTGTTGCCGGGATCTGGAGTTCAGAAGATCTCCCCCCCCCCCCCCATCTTGAAAGGTTTAGGGCTTAGGGCTTAGGGCTTAGGCTTAGGGCTTAGGGCTTAGGGCTTAGGGCTTAGGGCTTAGGGCTTAGGGCTTAGGGCTTAGGGTTTAGGGTTTAGGGTTTAGGGATAGAAAGGTGCGTTTTTGAGGCAAGTCTGAGGCACCGAAGTACACCACTGCGTACTGTAAACCGTTGAGTTGGGGGGTGGGCAGATGGTATTTAGTCTGCAGGATTTTGGCCGCTTGGCATCTCGAGCTGGTTCGGGGTTTAGGATTCGGGCATCGCCGGTTGACTGAGCTCTGTGCACAAAGCCCCAACATTAAGCGAAAAAGGGCTTGGGCTGCGGGTTTAGGTTTGGGACCCACCTTGCCCCACATCTAAATGCTGAAGTCTGAAGACCTAGCCCACAGCAACAAGAAGCCCCGGGCAATCTAGCCCCCACCCCCCAACATTCCGAACACTGTGTGAGCGCAAGCCTCAGAAGAACACACCCTACACTAAACCCTAAATCCTAAATCCTAAATCCTAAACCCCTAAACCCCTAAACCCTAATCCCGTAATTCTTTCCTAAATCCTAAACCCTAAAACCCTAAACCCTAATCGCGTAATTCTTTCCTAAATCCTAAACCCTAAACCCCTAAACCCTAAACCCCCAAACCCTAAACCCACACCTGTGCATTAGGGCCCTCCCTGGCTGCGATACTACCAGGTGCCTCAACTTCCTTAAACCCTACAAACAAGCCTCACGCCGCAACAAAGGGTTTAGGGTTTAGGGTTTAGGGTTTAGGGTTTAGGGTTTAGGGTTTAGGGTTTAGGGTTTAGGGTTTAGGGTTTAGGGTTTAGGGTTTAGGGTTTAGGGTTTAGGGTTTGGCCCTACCGAAGCAAGTCAGACAAGGCTCCACGTCGCCCAAAGTAGGTACATAGTAGCAGACTTTAGACCCCCAAGCCCTAAACCCTAAACCCGAATGTAGGTGTCATCTGTTTGCTTGGAGCTGTCTAGGGTGTCAACAAAATGTCCCTGTGCACATGCACCTTCTGGACCTCCTTCCGCTTTCCGCATCAACGCAAGCAAGGGCCAAAACCCTTGAGCACCCCCATTGAAGCCCTGCCCCCTAAAGACCCCTAAACCCTAAACCCTAAACCCTAATAAGCCCGAGAAAATGGCCCTTCAAGCCTTGAACCCTAGGCTGGATGGCGCCCTTTTAACCCTCTGAACAACATTCATGAATATGATCCTCTTGAACCCAACAAGGGCAAAATGATATCCCCAAGGCCTACCGATATAATAGGATTTAATCGTAATCGAAATAGAAGTAATACTACTGGTAAGAATACTGGCTGTTTATTTCTGGAAATACAAAATAACAACAACAGTAAAAAAAATAAAAACAGTCATAATGGTAATAAACCCTCCGCACAGGCCCTAAGCAGCTGGGTGCCCCCGGCCCTATCACCTTTGTAGCGGCGATCGAGGTAGGCCAGCCTTCTGTTATCGGGTCCCTACAGTGGATGGAGGGCTAAGGCGACAAGAAGCAACCCAAACTCCCTAAGCCCTAAACCCAAAGGCTAGAACCCTAAGCAACAAACCCTAAACATCCCTAGACCCTACCCCCCCCCCCGTCCCCCCTGGACCACTCTCCCTGAAGAGGTTTAGGAGACTAGGATGGCCCAAAACTTCACCAGAAGACCCAAAACCGGCAAGTGAAAGTGAAAGTGGGTGATTGAGTTGCAACGTTGAACTGGTCTAGGGTTTAGGGTCTGGGTGCAGAGTTGAGTTGAGAATTGCAGGGTTCTGGGATTTTTGGAGGGTGAAGGTTCAGGGCTTGGTGTTTAGGACAAACGGGCGAAAGTCCGACAGTAAACCACAGTCCGCAGACAGACCGCTCTTCAAGATAAGCTCAGTGCTGTCCTTCAGGAAGCTGCACTACAGCTACTATACTTAACGTAGGGATTTAAGAACATAGTACTGCCGTAAGCTCCAGGCTCACTCTTCGGGCTACTTCCGACCGGCTACCTTGTCCACGACACAAATTTGGGCCACAAATATGCTGGCGCGAGGGACGCAGGGAGGCGTTCGAATCCAGCCGGCTTAAGCCGCATTTTGCCGATTTCCAAGAACGTGCACACGTTGTTCGTCGCGACATCGTTATTTATCGCAGATCGGCCCTCCACGCTTTTGACACCAGCCCGCCGCGCGCCGCGGTGGCGTGGCACCATATGGGCCTATTCAACTATAAGGTCCGCCCCGCCCGCTTGCCTACCGCTCTTGGGCAGGCGGGGCGTTTGAAGATGGGTTTCCAGGGCTAGTTCTGAAACTGAACAGTTGCAGACATGAACCAGCACGAAAGCATGTGATTAGTTTTAGTTTCATTGTATTGCATGTAAGGGGACCGTATTTTGCAACTACTCAGGCTCCTATCATCAGCACAGCTATCGCTAAACCCTCAACCCTAACCTCTGAAACGCCTCATGCTTAGATGGATTAGCCCCCCCAAAGCCCGAGTCCCTACTTAAAAACCATAGGCTCTCAACCCTAAACGCTAACCTTGGGGCCGGCGCTTCAGAAGACCCTCAGCCCTAAACCAACCTGTGACTTAAACCCTAAACCCTAAACCCTAAACCCTAAACCCTAAACCCTAAACCCTAAACCCTAAACCTCTCTTTCTATATATATATATATATAAACCCTAATGGATTTCGTGGACGAAGGCACAAATATTCGTGGGCAAGGCACAAAAATTCGTGGGCAAGGCACAAAAATTCGTGGACAAGGCACAAAAATTCGTGGACAAGGCACATTTCGGATTTTTGGGCTTTTGGGCAAGGCTTAAAACCCCAAAATGTGCCTTGCCCACGAATTTGTGTGCCTTGTCCACGAATTTTGTGCCTTGCCCACGAATATTTGTGCCTTTGCCCACGAAATTTTGTGCCTTGCCCACGAATTTTCGGGCACGTAAATTGGTGGCAAAGCACAAAAATTCGTGGGCAAGGCAACAAGGCACAAAAATTCGTGGGCAAGGCACGTTTCGGAGTTGGGCCCTTGCACAAGGCTTAAAGCCTCAAAATGTGCCTTGCCCACGAATTTTTGTGCCTTGCCCACGAATTTTGTGCCTTGCCCACGAATATTTGTGCCTTTGCCCACGAAATTTTGTGCCTTGCCCACGAATTTTCCTGCAAACAAATTGGTGGCAAGGCACCAAAATTCGTGGGCAAGGCACTTAAATTCGTGGGCAAGGCACAAAACTTCGTGGGCAAGGCACAAAAATTGGTGGGCAAGGCACAAAAATTCGTGGGCAAGGCACAAAAATTCGTGGGCAAGGCACAAAAATTCGTGGGCAAGGCACGTTCCCACCACAACTTTTGTATGAAGATACTTTATGGTTTCTGAATGTTATGGGATTCTCTGGGTGGGTGGGTGTTATATCCGAGCCGTAAATCTGCTCGATCCGGAGCTGCTGAACCCTAAACCCTAAACCCTAAACCAAAATCCAAAGCCCTAAACCCTAAGCGTTATAACCAAACCGGACCTTGCGTTCTTCCTCCGCGTGACGGCGTCGTTTCTCTTCCAGGGCCTGGGTTCCGAAGGGAGGGGGCAGGTGGTTGGGGGTTTAGGGTTTAGGGTTTAGGGTTTTAAGGGTTTACAGGTTCTAGGGGTTTAAGGGTTTCCAAACTGTGGGTTTAGGAGGTGCGGAGATTTCTAAGGGCAATTAGGGGCTTAGGGTTCCAGGGTTTAAGTTTCAGTCATGGGTTCAGGTTTAAGGGTGTTAGGACTGTTTGAGGGTTCAAGGGTGTAAGGTTTACCCAGGATACAGAGTAGAATGGTTCAAGGTTTAGGATTTGGGTTTGCCCTAAACCCTAAACCCTAAACCCTAAACCCTAAACCCTAAACCCTAAACCCTAAACCCTAAACCCTAAACCCTAAACCCTAAACCCCACACCCTACAAGCCCCCAAGCCCTGCAGGCCCTAGGCCCACCACCCGATGCGCAACTTCCGCCGGGAGCCCGCCGAGGGCGAGGGCGGCCGGGCACCGTCTGGCGCCTGCGCAAAAGGGAAGCCAGTGAACCCCAAACAGGGTCTCGGGTTTCGGGTTTAGGGTTTAGGGGTTAGGGTTAGGGTTTAGAGTTTAGGGTTTAGGGTTTAGGGGTTTAGGGTTTTAGGGTTTTAGGGTTTTAGGGTTTTAGGGTTTTAGGGTTTTAGGGCTTAGGATTTAGGGTTTAGGGTTTAGGGCTTAGGGTTTAGGGTTTTTGGGTTTTTGGGTTTTCGGGTTTTAGGGGGGGGTGGAGGATGCCCTTGCAGTGAGGGATCTTCCCTAAAAATCAAGTTCGGACCTCTCCTGCCATGGAAGGAACAATAATTCACCTATACTCCCCTTAGAACCTGAATAAAAATATTATATTCTTAATATCCTCTTGGGTTTTCTAAAAACAAATATAGAAAATAATTTCCCAAGGGGGATATAGTAACTAACTAAGGAATGTTTGGAGCCTCTGGGTTTGGGGTTTAGGGTTTAGGGTTTAGGGTTTAGGGTTTAGGGGCATTAGGGCTTAAGGGCTTGGGCTTAAGCCCCCAGTGAGAATCCGAAAAACCACAAGGTTTAGAGTTTATGAGTGCAAAAAGGCTCAGTAGGGTTTATCATGACCATGATGATACACATGACGACCCTAAACCCTAAACCCTAAACCCTGAACCCTAAACCCTAAACCTAAAAACCCTAAATCAGGTTCAGCGTTCGGGGCCAGACTGTAAGAGGGCTGCTAGGGTTCCAGGTTAACCCGATGACGACAAAGGTCCTTCGAACACAGCAAGAGGGTCATAGGGTTTTAGGATTCAGGTACTGCGGCCATGGAATCATCTGATATAGAAGAACAAAACAATCTAGTGTTAAGGGTCACACAATGCACAACACCCTAATCGGAACCCCAAGGCCCTCAAACCACAGCCCTAAACCCTTAACCCTATACCCTAAACCCTAAATCCTCCTCCCCCTCCTCCTCCCCCTCCTCCCCCCCCCCCCCCCCCCCCCTCCACCCTAAGCCCTTCGTCCAGCCTCGCCATAGTGCTTCATCCCAGGGCGCAAGGCCGGAGGTCTCGACCGGGGTGCAGGATAGAGGTAAAGGTCCTGGCAGGATACAGGATAGGGTTTAAGGGTTTCATGGGTTTAGGGTTTAGGGTTCATGATTTAGAGCTTAGGGTTTTAGGGTTTTGGATTTTGGGGTTTAGGGTTGAGGGCCAGTTTTGGGCTTTAGGGTCTGGGGTGTAGGGCTGCTTTACGGTTTAGGGCTGTATTCTGCTCCCTTACTCAAAGCCCCCATTTTTTCACATTTAGAGCTTAGGGTGTAGAGTTTCCCACTTTGCCTCTGTTCATCCGCTCACTATGGGCGAGTGGGCCCTGACACCACGGCGGACCATATTAAGGGACCATACAACAACCCTTGGCCTTAGATTTCTTACAACCCCTAAATCCTGAACCCTACTTGCATGTCCCTTCCTTGAGGAAGGGGCAAACCCCTAAGCCCCAAACCCTAAACCCTACACCCTACGCTCTAACCCCTAGACACCGAGCCTCAACTCCAAACCCTTAAGGTGACGCCGGTTGTTGCGGGCCCCGCGTGTTTTGCGCGTGTCATGTTGGAGTGGGGACGCCGGAAAACGTGAAAACATCTCAAGGTCTTTTGCGTTCGCTGGACGCGTCTTCCACCAAGCAAAGACCCTGGCCGTTCTGAGTGACGTGAGCCTAAACCCTAAACTCCCAAACCCTAAACCCTAAACCCTAAACCCTAAACCCCTAACCCTAAACCCTAAACCCTAAACCCTAAACCCTAAACCCTAAACCCTAAATCCAAGACCCCAGACCCCATCCGAAAGATCGGGGAGTCCTCTTTCGCCTCCTCAAGCTCCCCCGAGCCTGAGGCGGATCAAAGCTTAGTTTTCCCAGTACCCAGTGGAACTAAAGGGTTTAGGGTTCAGGGTTTAGGGTTTAGGGTTTAGGGTTTAGGGTTTGGGATTATTTTTGGGATGAAAAAGGGACTCTCTAGGGATTATATTGTAGGGATTGTAAGGAGAATAGTTTACCCCAAAAAAGGTTACAGGTTACCTACTCTACTACTAAGAAAGAAGCTAAGGCTTCGGGGGCCTGTTTTTGCAAGGAGGGCTAAAGGCAAAGGTCTATTAGGGTTTAGGGTTTAGGGTTTAGGGTTTAGGGTTTAGGGTTTAGGGTTTAGGGTTTAGGGTTTAGGGTGCGGAGCTGCAATTGGTATTGTAGAAAGGAGTTGGTATTGGAAGTTGAAGGGTCAATGAACCCGGTAATCTTTGGCTCAAGCCATGACCAAAGCGGTCAAAGGTTTCGTAAAAAGTGTGCCCTTGATTTGGGGTCTTGTTGTTCGGTTGTTGGTTGTTCCAGGGGTATTAAGGGCTTCTGTTGGGGTTGACTGTTTTGTTCCCTGTCCTCCTTCGGTTGCCCCCCGTAGGTTATGAGCCCAAATTAGGCTTCCTGCGGAATTGGTAAAGATTTTTCGTTTGTTTAACGCCATGGACATGATGCGGCGTCGCTCTGAGCCTGGACTGTCGCCAACGGCCAATGAAGCCGAAGGAAATCGTGGTGATGGGGGTGAAGATCGACAACAAATGGTACAAGCACTGACAGATGGTAGGGAGGTTGCAATGATACAACCAACGCCTCAGGTGGAAAACGAAGTGGTTCCGGTTCAAGCAGCAAATCCTTTCTGGAGCGAGCGGGCTCAAGAAGAAATGAGACTTAGGCAATCAAGGCCGGCAAGTCTTCCCGCGAGCGGAGGGGATAGGAGTGGTGAAGGTACGAGGAGACCGCCTTCGCTGCAAGACCTTTTGGGTCAGGAACCTGCACCTGTTGAGAGACCATCGTCAGGCTTAATGGGACAAATGGAACGAGGTACTATTGGTGGAGTGCAAGCCGACGAAGAACTCATTCCTGATGTTAGTGGTGAAGAGCAACTGAAGATATGGCGGTGGTGAAGCGTGCGCTGAAAGAGTTGCTTGTGCAGACAAAGGAGCTGGGGAACAGGTTGCATCGGGTGGAGGAAAAAGCTATACCTCTGCTGCATCTGGGTCAGCTTCAAGGGCACGGAGCTCTGGAGTGGTGGACGCAAACACGGCATATCCTCTAGGAATGACTCCAGAGAAGCAGTACCTGCCAGGACAAGTTTTCTACACGGATGGTATGGGTGGTTTTTGGACTGTGTTGCCTGATGGGACATGGCTGCCTATTGAGGGCTACGACCTGCCAAAGGGTTGTGATCTTCAATCCTTGCCTGGGTCCAGGAAGGGGGATGTTCAAGTGGAGGATGAAAAAGAAGTGCCAATGATGCATGTAGCTGAAGGGAAGAAACCCTCCAGATTGCCTCCATTGAATTACCCCACGGGAGGTCTTGCAAGTGGTGGATATGCAAGTGGACCACCTGGTTTAACACATGTTCCGATTACTTCCGTGCCATCAGGTGTTGATGGTTCTGTCGCACCTGCGGGGAACCAGCCCGGTTTTGTTTCAGCTCGGGAAACTGCAACGCAAGAGAACTCAGCAGGATCGGGTGGATATACAATGGTGGATGATGTTCCGTATCGGTGGAAAATGGTCGCTGGGAAGTTGAAATTAGAAAAGGTTCCGCTCACAGCTGTTACGCCTGGTATAGGACATGGACTACCTCAAGGGCCTGGTGGAAGGGTCAGCTTACCTCCTGGAGCAGTGGTGCCACGCGGTATGCCAATCACTGGTGATAGTTCTGGAACCGAACGTCCGGAGGCTCTCGGGAAGCATGTGATGAGCCTTCCAACTTTGGCAGACTACACACCAAGCAATCCGACGGCACTGGGTGATTGGATCTTCGCTGACAGATACAGGAAGAGTGTGGTGGCAATGCGTCTACTCAAGGGCATATCAAGCGTATGCCAAATGGTTGAGTGTTTCTCCACTGGAAAGGTTGGGCATCAAGGCTGAGCTAGAAGGGCTCAAAGTGGTTCAAACTGCGCATGTTTTGTTGGAGCAGAGAGCGGTGTCTTTGCTGCTACAGGCGATCCCGGAGAGATTGAAGACCGAGATCGTTTCCACTCGAATGTTGGGGTCGGTGATGATATTTTACAAATTGCTGACGGTCTACCAACCAGGTGGAGCAAATGAGCGCAGCACAATGTTGAACTTCTTGGTGCAACCATCTTCAGCAACCTCGATTTCAGAGGCTATTAAGGGAGTGCGACAATGGGCGCAATGGCGTTCCCGATTAAGGGAGCTGCGAGCATCCGAGCCGGACGCTACCTTGCTTATCAAGGGATTGGATGCTTTATCATCCGCGTTGCTGGCAAAACACCCTACGGTGCATTTCAGAGTGGCATCCTTTCGGGAGAAATTGGGGGTGGACTACTCGCCGACCTCTGAAACTGCGACACAACTAGCTGAAATGTTACAGGCAGAGTTTGAACTGCTATTGCATAGTGCTGGTGAACAAGAGGTGAAGCAGGACTCGGACGCCAAGAAAAGGGCCAGGTTAAACAAGGCCCAAAAGGGAACTGGTGACGAGACAGAGGAGGGTGACAAAGGCAAAGGGAAAGGAAAAAGGTACAGCGGAGATGGTGAACGTCCTTTCTGTTGGATATATGGGAAGACCGATGCAGGTTGCAAGTTCGGATCCCGCTGCAAATTTCGCCATGACAAAGACTCCCTTGAGCGAGGAAGATGTTTTGAGTGTGGGGCCGTTGGCCATCTGCAGCCGCAATGTCCATATAAGGATGGTGCAAGTTCCAATGTGGACTCAAACCCTGAGAGAAGCAGATCTAAAGGGAATTCTCCCAAAGGGGGAAAGGGCGGCAAAGGTGCGAAATGGGGAAATGCCAAAAAGGCAGAAGTAGCTGAAGGGGGAGATGAGACGGCTAATGCGGGATTGGATAAAGGTTCTGCAAGTCCCTCATCACCATCAACACCCAATCAAGTCCTTGCTGAAGCGTTGGAAGTGCTGAAATCTATGAAGCTGTCATCAGCGCAGTCAGCATCGAGCGGGGATCCCAGTGTTCGAATGTTATGTGGATCTGGATTGTTTCAGCAGGAAGGGAGAGTGGCGTTGGTGGATACAGCTGCTACGCATCTTGTGCGGACGCTTTTTCCATGGGAATGTTTACCCGACACTACTGTTATGGTGCAAAGCGCGCTTGGTGGTGTGGCAATGAGGATTACAGAGAAAGGGACGTTGATTAGGGAAGACAATGGGCCCCTGATTATCCCTCTCTGGTTGATTTTGGAGTTTGGGGCGAACCTCACTGTGATCAATGGGATGTGTCACGTGGGTGCAAAATCTTCGCTGGACCAGCTCTTGTGGTTTGAACATGGCTGTTTGGTTATGGATTACAAAACAGCTGAAAAAATGGTTTTGCATGCTGAAAGGCAGCGTGCGTCTTGGTCCCATTCTCAATGGAGGAATGGAAGGGCGGACTGTGGAGTCGGTTCGTCGGATGCCACGTTGTTGCCGAAGCAGGGAGAAGGCCGAGGAGTATGCGTTCTACATGTGGCCAGGGTTTCTGACACCAATGAGTGTTCGGGAATGGGCATGTTGGACTCGGGAGCATCACATCCTCTCAGATCACTTCGTCCTGGAGAACAGCTTCCGCAGCAAAAGGTGTTGGTGTCTTTAGCTGTTGGATCTCGGGAGATGTGTATAACCCCAGGTGGGACCCTGGTAACTCCTGAAATGGTAGATCCACTAGTGCCAATTGGCAAAGCGAGCGCCTTGGTTGGTCTCAGAGTTCAGTGGCGTGGTGGCAAGTGCACAGCCTCACATCCTGTTCTGGGGGAACTTCGCGTTCGTGATCTGAATGGGTGCCCTTGTTTGGAAAAGGAGGTGGCGCTTCAGATCATTGATGAAATGGATTGGTGCTCACCAAAGCAAGCTTTGAAGGTGGCACGTATGGTTCAAGGGTGTCCGAATACGGACAACGAGGTGGCTGTAAAAACGTCGTTGCAAAGCGCAGCGCGGACAGCGTCAGCGAATGAGGAGGAGTTCGTCCAGGCATGCTGGCGATTTCTTCGGTGGTATTATGGGGATATACCAGAAAATATGCTGATGGAGCTGTTGCCACGTGGAGATATTGCAGCGTTGCCTTTCAACCGTCATAAAAGGAGACGGCCGGCACGAGCAAAAAGGGTGGTGGTACACCTATTTTCGGGAAAACAAAAATGGCATTTTCCCAGTCGGGATGCGGAGGTACTGGAGCTGGATTTGACAAAAGGCGGTGACCTACATAATTCGAGCGTCTGGAAGTATCTTCTGCATCTGGCGGCTGAAGGAAAGGTGGTTGCTGTGGTGGGAGGACCTCCATGCAGGACAGTGTCAAGGTTGAGAGGTGAAGACGGTGGTCCACCTGTATTACGCCGACGCTGTGGGCCTGAACGGTTGGGGTTAAAAGTCTTCCTTGGCCACATCAAGAATTAGCTCAAAAGGATGGTGTTTTACTTCTGAAGATGCTTTTCCTATATGACGTGGCGGTGCATTCAAGGTGTGGAACTGCTGAAGTCATCAATGGGAGTTCTGTCTTTTTTGGCATGGAAAGCCCTGGGGACCCTGAACTCATAGGGAAAGATTTCTCTCAGAACGGCAAAACGGTCTTGAGTGCTGAGGATCTGGTGGATGGTTCTCAGGAAGGGCTCTCAAGTCCTACCTTCTGGAGTTGGCCAGAGGTGAAAAGCTTTTGTGAGCGTTATGGAATGTACGCTGCACACTTTGATCAAGGAGCATTGGGACATGCTCTGGTGAAACCTACGACTTTCCTGGTGTCTGATATGGAACTATGGGAATCGTTGGAACAGGTTCGCGTGGTTGTTCCGTGGTCAGCAACATTCGCTTCTACCCTGGAAGAGCGTATTGGACAATCCTCTATATGGGCGCGATG